CCTGCAGCCACAGAGGCCTCCCGAAGCCACCAGGGGCAGCGGCACTCCGCGGCGCCTCCAGGGGCCCAGAGAGGTCGCCAAGAAAGGGCCAGGGACTGCCGTCGTTGTCTCGACCAGGCCCTCCTCCGAGCCAAAAGCCCCCGCCCCCACCCCCACCCGTCCGCGAAGAGCCCCGCACTCGGGGGGCCACCTCCTGGCCAGGACTTTCAGGCGGATCCCGTCGTGGCGACGAGAGTCGACGACATGTAGGAGTGACCCTTTGCCGGAGGGACCTTAGCTCACTGGGCCCCCCCGATTGCTGAGCGCGATGCGATAGTGGCTGCCTGCGTGCTTGGATTTGGCCACCTGGCGCCCCCTCTTCATTCAGGAGGGGAAAAACACAGGCGCAATGGATCGTCGATTCCAAGGGAAATATGGGAACATCTGGGAAGCAGGGGGGGGGGGAAGACGAAAACCCAGAACTTACGCGAACATACAGGACATCCTGAGATTCGTGTCTATTTATTTGTGTGTCCCTGGTTCCCTTTCTTCATCCTTGCGTGTGGCCGAGAGCCCCCCCCCCTCAGTACTCCGGACCTTCCGCCCTGACCTTCCGCCTCCTTTCCGATCTGATCTATGTAGGGTTATCCTTACATTGCGTGAGGTCCCCATGAGTTTCGGAATTTCGGTAAATTTTTGCGCACCTGCCGCGAGGGTCGGAAGGTATGGAAGGTGGAGGTGGAGGGAGGTGGAATCGGAGTCGAACCGCGCAGGGCGATTATAGTGTAGGCCAGTCCACAAGAAATCTTCCACAAGAAACATGAACCCTGAGACCCCAGGACGTCCATCGAATTCTGGTGTGGGAGCGTCACGCGCTCCATCGCAAAACCATCGACACCCAGGAAGCCCAGGGCACCCTGGCGGCAAGCGGGGTGCATCTTGGCATGGGCCTCGTCCTGAAGGCCCACGCGGGGACCCCCCCGCGGCGCCGAGGCAGGCCCGCGCGGGCCTATCGGCGGGCCCTCCCATCCGAAAGGCGGCCCCGTGCGAGGCGGCGCCCTCCGGGGCGCGGTCCGCGGCGGGCGCGCGCGGGGGCGGGGCCGCGGGGCGACGCCTCGCCGGGCCCCCCCCGCGCACGAGGCGGCCACCATCGGCACGAGCGGAGCGGGTGCGGAAAGGCCGGGCACGAAGCCCAGCAGCAGTCTGCGCGCTGTCCGCGCCGCCGCGGCCGGCGCGCCCCCGTTCGAGGCGAGAAGAGGGCCGCCGGGCCCACGGCGGCCGCCGTTGCTTTGGGGCAACGGCTTTGTTGGGCACCGTGCCCATCTTTTCCGTACCCATGTCGGGCGCCCAAGCACGAGGCGGCCGCGGGCCCGGACCCCCGACGTCAGGATCCCCCCCAGACCCCTCGAGGCACGACAAAGATCAGGGCGGGAGGCGTTTCCATATTTCGGCCTCTTGGGGCCCCTACCAGGCCTCGGGACCGTCAAAAAACGACTCGGCATGAAACACCGGTCCATGGGAGTTGGTCCAGATCTCTTGGGGTCGACGTCGCAGAAAAATCATGACGTCGGGGGTCTGGGTACGCCGGCATGGACAGGATGATCTGATCGAGTGAGTCGGCCGGCCGGCTCTTCCTCACTTCTTCCTTCAACCCATCTTGGATTTGAATCTTCCTGCCGCCGCCTGGCCCCTCGCAGGGCCGTCCCGTGGGACGAGTAGGCGCCGTGTCCGTGCCCGAGTCCGCGTGTCCCATGGAGGTCCCGACCCCTTTCCCTGGGACCCGATCTTCCTCCCAGGTCGTCTCTCGAGGGCCCCGAGGCCCAGGGGGCCCCCCCGGGAGGCCGAGGGAGCGAACCAGACATCCGCCGTCGTCAAAACTATTTCTCCAGGACTCGAGGGGCTCTGGGGGCGGAGCGCGCGCGCCCCCACGGGCGCGAACCCAGACCCCCGACCTCATGATTCCTGCTCCTGACGTCGTCCCCCCCCCCCGCCCCTGCAAGGTCTCGACCCTCTCCCCAGGGACGGGCTCTCCCTCCTGCGCCGCCTCCTGGCGGCCCCGAGGCCCCGAGGGGGGCCCCCGGAGGCCGACGACGGCGAAAAACCTTCGCCGTCGTGATTTCTCCGCCATGGCTCGCGGGGCTCCGGGCACGGCGGCGGCGGCGCGGGCGCCGCCGCGGGCGCCCGCTGGGCGCGATGCTGCGGCGAGGGCGGCGCGCGGCGGCGGCGGCGGGGGGCGCGCTCGCGGCGCGCCCGCGGGCCGGCCGCGCGCCGCTCGGCCCGCGGGGCCCGGCGGCGCCGCGGCGGCTCGCGGGGCTGCGTGCGGCGGCGCCCGCCGGGGGCGGCTCGGGAGGGGGGAAGCGTTTTTATTGTGTGTAACTGCAACATGCTTTTACATATTATAATTATTACTATTCTTGTTGCTACTATCATTATTTATGTATGCATGATGTATTTATGTATTCATTCATCATTACTAGTATTATTAGTATTATTATTATGTTTATTATTACTATTATTATTCGTTTTATTGTTCTTATTATTATTATTGGTATGGATATTAGCATCATCATCATTATTATTGATATTATTATTAATAATAATAATGTTATTATTATTAATATCATTATTATTATTATTATAATGATTAGTTTAATTAGTATTATTATTATTACTTTTATTATTATTATTATTATTATTTATATTATGAGTTTTATCATCATTATTCTTAGTATATATATATATATATATGTATATATATATATATATGTGTTGTGTTTTTTGGAAGCAAACAGAAAACATCAGCGAGGTGCTGACCAAGACCCCCTCGCGCTGTGCGAAAACCACGAGGGAAGGTGTTTCGTTCTTCTCGGCCTCTGGGGGCCCCTGCTGGGCCTCTGGGGGCCGTCAACAACAGCGGCTCGGAACGAAGGACCAGTCTCAGGGGATGGGTCCAGACCTCTGGGGGGTCGACGTCATGAGAAAAGTCATGACGGGGGTCTGGGGCATGAGAGGGGGCCCGAGGTTTTTCGCCGTCTCTGGCTCCGTCGGGGCCCTCCACGGGCCCCTCGGATTGTGAGAGAAGACGACCCCGGAGGAAGATGATAGGTCCAGGGGGATGCATACGGTTAAGTCGGGCTTGTCCCTCTACAGGAGGAGTATTCAAAAAAAAGTCAAAGAATAATCATGGGGCGATTTTTAAAGATATTGTTTGAATCTTCTTGGAACGTGTTCTGGCTTTTTTTCAGGAATCGTGTCCCCCATGCCCAGGCGGCTTCGAGGGCTTCGGGCTGCCGCCCTCAGCGTCGCTGGCCGCCGGCCGTGGTCAGGGTCAGGGTCAGGGTCAGGGTTATGGTCGTCGTCGTCGTCGTCGTCGTCGTCGTCGTCGTCGTGGTCGTCGTGGTCGTCGTCGTCGTCGTCGGCGTCCTGCTCCTCCTCCTCCTCCTCCTCCTCCTCCTCCTTCGCGGTCCTGTGGCGCCCCGCGGGTGCGATCTGCAGAGGGGGAGGCCTGGGCAGCCTCTCGTGGGGGCAGGGGGCGCGCGTGGAGGGTGCGCGTCTGGCCATCCGCGTTGGCTCCGCGGGCCCTCGCAGAGGCCCAGGGATCGTCCGCAGACTGTTCGGCGAGGCAGCCAGGCCTTGCGTTAGGTCGGGCATGTCGCCCTACAGGGGGATTTTGGTCGAGAAATAAAGAATAGTCAAAAAGTAATCAAAACATGCCCAAACATAGTCGAAAAATCCTGCCCGGATTATTTTTGGACTATTTTTGAATTTTCATCCTGTAGGGGGACACGCCCGACTTGGACCTGGCGAAGGGCTGCGTTGCAAGCCGCGGCTCGAACGCGGGAAACTGGGCATGAGCAAAAACCATGCCTTGGACCGAAGATGAAATCGCACCATAAACATAAACTTTTGGCGCTCCGCGCGGATTTCTTGGATCCGCGCCGGGCCCCCCCGGCGGCGCCTCCGGCGCCGCCCCGTGGCGCAGCGCAGATCCAAGGAATCCGCGCGGAGCGCCAAAAGTTTACATGGCGTCTTTTCTTTTTGTTTCTTCCTTTAAAAAGGGGCATGAACAAAACACATGCCTTGGAGGCAGATTTTTTGCAGCCCTGCCTTCTGCTGAAAACAGTGCTTTTAGCCTGGTGCGCAGCAGGCGCGCCTCTTTGGAACACAGCCTAGCCGTCACAGCATCGTTGCTCAAGAAAAACCGACCTGGGGAAGGGGTCCAGACCTCTGGGGGGCCACGTTGTGAAACAGTCAGGATGTTGGCTTCGGGCTGCCGTCCTCGGCGTCGCACGCGCGATTAATACTGCGGGTCCCTGCGCTTCAGGCTTTTGGGGGCTTGTTCGAAGAAGACGCGCTTCACTCCTGGACGGCTGCGGCCACAAAGTGCGAAGTGCGAAGTGATGCTTCTGGTCATGCAAATGCGAGCGAGGACAGCAGACCAGAGCAGAGGCTGGTCAAACCAACAGGTTGGCTCACGGGTGGGGCACAATTTGGAAAATCAAGAGCAGTGCGACCTGCATGCGAGATGTGAAGGACGTCCCCCCCTCTCTCCCGCCCTCCTCCCCTTCCCCCCCCACCCTGCGCAGCGGCGAGCGAGTACAAAGCGGCCAAATCGTGCCCACGCACACGGTCGCTCTTGCGGCATGTGAGGCGGAGGCCGTGTGACCCCGGCGAAGCACTTTTTCACGACGGGTGTTTTTTTTTTGCTTGGCCTCGGGCCCCGGGTCCCTCACAGATCGGCCGGCTCGGGGACTGCCGCACCATGCTGCCCAGGGCTCTGGCCGAGTCTCTTCTACGATGTTGCAATTTGTTGCGACGTCGGGTCTCAGGGCCGGTGCAGCGGTCCGAGCAAGAAGAGATAGCGGTACCGCTGCCCGTCCTTCGATGCCGCGGCTGGATTTCTCTTGAAATCCTGGTTCGATCGCGCCCCAGGAGAGACCCGGGGAGTGACTATCGGTGTGTGTGTGTGTGTGCATCCGTGCAAGAAAGGGTCGTGGTGTGTGTGTGTGTGTGTGTGTGTGTGTGTGTGTGTGTGTGTGTGTGTGTGTGTGTGTGTGTGTGTGTGTGTGTGTGTGTGTGTGTGTGTGTGTGTGTGTGGGGGGCACTTGTTGCCCCCCAAGTGGGGCGCGTCGCGGGGAGGTCGGGGGGCCAGGCTCGGAATAAAGCCCGCCGAGATAACGGCTGCCATCCCTGGCCCTAGTTCGCCTTCTTCCTGGAGTTCCCGGGATCGGGCGACGAATTCTACACATCCATCCAGTGCCCCCCTGGCATGGGGGGCCCTTCCTGGGCCCAGGAGCTGCGTGTACGCCCTGCTGGCCAGGCCAGGAGGGCGTGGCGTGTACGCCGCTGCCGGGTTCGGTGTTGGCCTGGCCAGGGAGCCGTGGACATGCGTCGACTTGGGCGCCAGGTGGGAGCACCTCGCCGCCACGGGCTGTGTCCGCGTGGAGAGACGGGGCGGGCCGGACCCTGGGAGGGGACTCCCCGCCGTTCTCCTCCTCCTCCTCCTCCTCCTCCTCCTCCTCCTCCTCCTCCTCCTCCTCCTCTTCCCTGACAGGGTCATGCCTACCCTCAAGGGCATTAGCGCTACACTGCGATTCTCCACCTCCTCCTCCTCCTCCTCCTTCTCCTCCTCCTCCTCCTCCTCCGCCTCCTCCTCCGCCTCCTCCTCCTCCTCCTCCTCCTCCCTCTCACACCTATGCTAGTGGTGCTCCACTCCAGCCCGTTCCAGAACGCTATGAGAGCATTCCAGAACGCTCTGAGAAGGCAGCGGCGCCCGATACGCCCTCAGAGCCGCCGCTTCTCAGAGAGTCCCGATGTATTTCCCTGTCTCGTTTCGCCCCTGCCTTGTCCTCGTCTTGCTTCAGTGCTGGATTCCAGCGATCTTGTGGGATCCCACGGCGCCAGCTCGGCCCGACCGATCGCTCGGCGCGACGAGTCGCCGCGATTGGACTGCGCTTGCTCGGAGCTGTCATCAGGGCTCTCGTCACGTCATGCAGTGGATCTGTCAGCGACTGAGGCTGCATCCCAACTCACTGCGCGCGCTGCGGGGGCCTCAGGTACCCGCAGGGACACCATGGTAGGCGCGTAGAAGAACAAGCAGCTGGCCTCTGTTTCGGCCCTGGTCGGGAGTCTTCCCTCTCCTCCCCCCGTTTCCCCTTCCCTGTCCCCGATTCCCCTCTCTTTCCCCTCTTTGCCTCCCCCTTCCCTCCCTCGCCTGCTACCCTGGTGGCCGTTGCTGCCGGTGGGCCCGAAGGCGTGACGTGGCGTGGAGTGGGCCTGCCAGCAGGTGTCCTGCGGACGTGGTCCGTCCCCCCAACATGGTGATGGGCAAATGTTCCACCACCGCCATCATAGGTAGGACGGGGGAGAAGGGAGGATGGGAAGGTCCTCCTCCTCCTCCTCCTCCTCCTCCTCCTCCTCCTCCTCCTCCTCTTCCTCCTCCTCCCTCCCACACCTATGGTAGTGGTGGTGGAGCATCGGCCCACCAGACGGCCTCTGGTGGCCCGCAGAGATGCCCTGGGGCACCTCAGGGAGCTCAGAGCTCGACGACGAGCGTCGCCCCCAGGCTGGGATCCGACGTCGCGGAACAACTGCAGCACCGCAAACAAGAAGCTCGGGCGGAGCCCAGGATCCAACCTCTCTGCGTCGTCTTTCGAGCCGCACCGATCCGTGGGGGTCCCGGGCCGCCAAGCAGGGCAACATCGCCCGTTGTGCCAAAGCTTGCGACGCCGAGACCGCAGGGTTGTTCTCTTACAGCATGCTGTCTCGTGCCGCACGTGCCTGCTGTGAGTCACGCCCTCGAACGTGTGCTCTGCAGTTCGCCAGGGGCGTCCTCCCCAGACCCCCGACGTCGTGATTTCTTCACAGCGTCGACCCCCAGAGGTCTGGGCCCTTTCCCCGAGACCGGTTTTTGATCCCGAGTCGTTCTTTGACGGTCCCGGGGCCCGGTGAGGGCCCCTGGAGGCCAACAATTGATAAAAACCTCCCGTCGTGAATCTTTTGTCATGACCCGGGGTGGTCTGGGTCGGCCGCAGTGTTCGGAGGCGCGCCCCTTGCGCCCCTCCTGCGCGCCTGCGCCGCCGGCCAGGCCGCCCTGCCGACGTGCTCGGGGGCGGCCCTCGCGAGGCCGCCGTGGGCCGTGCTCGCCCGAGCGGCGCGCGCGCCTGCTCGGCAGCGGCTCCCCATCGGGCCCAGGCGACGCTGCAGAAGTCGTGGCGGCCGGTGTTTGGACGTCTTCGGCCTCGGGGGGCCCTGGTCCCGGCCGCGGGGCCCGTGGATCACCGAGACTACCAGAGCCCCCCAGCCCTCATGACGCACTGAAGGCGTGGCCTAACCTAGGTCCGCGCCTCTGCATTCGGGTTTGGGCGGTTTGGCGGGATGTATCTGCAGGCAAGACGCCCGATCCTTCTAATATCAGGGGTTGGGGGGTGAGATCGCAGTGGAACGGAGACCCCCAACCGGGAAATCGTTCCGTTTCGTTTGTGTCGTGCGTGCGGGCGAGGCGAAGCTTCGTGGGCGCGCGGGAGGAACGAACCCGCCGTTGCTAGGGCGAAGTCAAGACAAATGGTTCTCCACCTACCGCCCGTCCGGCGGTGGCTCGCGGTGTCCCGTGGTGTCCCGTGGTGTCCCGTGGTGTCTGTCGTTGCTAGGGCGAAGTCATGGCAAATGATTCTGCCCCGCCCGCCCGCCCGGCGGTGGCTCACGGTGTCCCGCGGTGTCCCGTGACGTCCCGTTGAGTGAGATCGATAGTGAGATCGATACTGAGATCGATACTGAGATCGATACTGAGATCGATGTGGTGCCCCGAGGTGTCCCGTGGCGTCCCGTGGTGTCCCAAAAAGTGAGATCGATAGTGAGATCGATAGTGAGATCGATGTGGTGTCCCGTGGTGCCCTGTGGTGTCCCGTTGAGTGAGATCGATAGTGAGATCGATAGCGAGATCGATAGTGAGATCGATGTGGTGACCCGAAGTGTCCCGTGGTGTCCCTTGGTGTCCCGTTGAGTGAGATTGATCGTGAGATCGATAATGAGATCGATAGTGAGATCGATGTGGTGTCCCAAGGTGTCCCGTGGTGTCCGATGGTGTCCCGTTGAGTGATATCGATAGTGAGTCCGATAGTGAGACCGATAGTGAGATCAAGAGGTGTCCCGCGGTGTCGCGTAGTATCACGTGGACTCCCGCGGTGTCCCGTGGTGTCCCGTGGTGTCCCGTTGAGTGAAGCCGATAGAGAGATCGATAGTGAGATCGGCAAGTGTCCCGTGGTGTCCCGTGGTGTCCCGTTAAGTGAGATCGATCGTGAGATCGATAGTGAGATCGATTGAGTCAGATGTTGGTTCCCCCCCTAACCCCCCCCCCCACAACCTCCTTATCACCCGAAGGGTGGTCGTATAGGTATTTTTGCATCTGAATTTAGGTCCGCTCCCATAGGGTTAGGGGTCCTTCTATTGCTACACTTTAGAAAACGACTCATGATGAAACATCGGCCCCTTGGAAGTCGTCGACATCCCCAGGGGCCCGTGTCGCGAGAAAAGTGCGACATCGGACGAGACGGTTCTCCGAGCCGGGAAGTGCTTTCGCACGCGGAGGCCAGCCTCTTGTTTTTTTGGCCTCGCCGTCTCGACTCTCATCGACGGTCACCCCGTGCTGCCTCCCACGCGCCGGAAACGTGGACTCAGCTTAGCTGTAGCCCTCAGCCCTGTGGCTTGGCCTTAGCTGTAGCCCTCAGCTCAGCGGAATGCTACGGCAGCTGCTCACTTCGCATCCTGCCTCTCCGAGGCGGGAGGTGTTCTCCTACGCGGAGGCCACGGAGATCCAGGCCCGCGCGCTGCCCGAGCTGCTGGAGGCCGGGCCCCGTGGCCCAGACGCGGTGCTGCGCGCGAGGGCCGGCACGGGGAAGACGCTGGCGTACCTGAGCTCGTGCGGGCGGTCACCGGAGGAGGGCGACGTGGATCGAGCAGCGGCGAGGCGTCCTGGCTTGCCCACAGGCCCACCGGATCATGTTCTAAGGACCTCGCGTGGCTTGCGCGAAAGGTTCTCAGAACCTTCCTGTGGCCGGGACCGTCTGGTTTTGACTCACGGGCTTTGATGTTCTTAAGGGCACTGCTTTGTTGTCAGAACAGTGCTTTGTTCCAAGAAGATCTCGTGGCATGCCTATAGAAGTGTTGGGACGGCCGGTCTCTGCTCAAGTGGAGGTTCGAGGTTTTCGGATGTTCTCGTTGTTTCCTGGACGTCCTCCTGCCTCGGGGTGCGCTCCAGCAGCCCCGCCCCGCCGGCCCGATCATCTTCGATTGTGGTGTTCGGGCGGTCCGATGCGCCACTGCTCTTTCACGGCGCTGTCGTGGATCTTGGCGCGGCGGAGTAGATCATGTTCGATTATGGTGTTCGGGCGGTCCGACGCGCCACGGTTCTTTCACGGCGCTGTCGTGGATCTCAGCGCGGCGGAACCGATCATGCTTCCGTGCCGATGCGACCCCGTCCGACGCGCGCTGCGATCCGACCCGACTCCGTTCGGCTGGTCGTCGCGCCCTCGCCGCGCCGCTGCCTCCGCCCTGCTCGGCCGCCTGCGGCCCGTCAGTTCCGGTCGGCTGCGCTGCTGGCTCGGCGGGCTCTCGGACGTCCAGACGCCGTGGACGGCCGCGGCAATCGACGGGTGCGGGCTGAGAGGTGTGCTCCCGCATCCGCGGGTGGTCTTGCCGCAGCGTCCACAGCTGGGAGGTCTGGGTCCCTTCCCAGGGGGCACACCTGTCCCTCCCGAGTTGAGGTTCTGTCTCGACGTCCACCCCTGGAGGCCCAGCGCATGGACAAGAGACTCTAACCCTCACGCACGCTTGAGGGGAATGCTCATCCCCCCCCCCCCGCCCCCGAAATCAATGCGGACTTTAGCATGGATGGTGGCTTGGGGCTTCGGATAGTTCTGTCCACCCACGCCTCTCCACTGCCGCACCCTCAGTAGTAAGTTTGGGGGTCTGGGGGGGTGTCTTGCGCCGCAGGGTTCGAACTTCTTGTCCGTGTACGGTCTCGACCCCTTCTGGGAGCGGCTTTTCGGCCTGCAGCGCTTCTGCAGCACGTCCCCGGAGCCCTCGCAGAGCCCCGCAGAGGGCAGAGAGCGGCGGCCCCACAAAGCCATCGAGGCCCTCGAGGCCAGAGCCTCGAGCCTGGGCGTGGAGCGCTCCCCGGCTACCGTCCTCGAGATCTTCGGCCCTCGGGCCCTCGAGCCCTCGATCCTCGGCTGGAGCCTCGAGCCTCGCTTCTCGAGCCTCGAGCCTCGAGCCTCGCTCCTCGAGCCTCGAGCCTCGAGCCTCTCGAGCCTCTCGAGCCTCTCGAGCCTCGAGCCTCGAGCGTGGATCCTCGCCGGCCCCCCCCCCCTCTCTGGTCACCGCCCGCCCGCGGCTCCCGAGCGTGGAGCGCCTCCTGAGCCGCCCTCCGCCCGGCGTGGGCACGCTGGTCGTCGCGCCGTCCCGGGAGCTGGTGCCTCCCCCCCCCGGAGGAGGAGGAGGAGGAGGAGGAGGAGGAGGAGGAGGAGGAGGAGGAGGAGGAGGGAGGAGGGAGGAGGGAGGAGGAGGAGGAGGAGAGGAGGAGGAGGAGACCGAGGAGGAGGAGGAGGAGGAGGAGGAGGAGGAGGAGGAGGAGGAGCAGGAGGAGGAGGAGGAGGGGGGCGGGCCGACGGAAGGTTTGGGGGGGCCCGGGCGACGCGGCTGCTCGGAGGCTTGCTCGCCTCTTTCGAGAAAAGAAGAGACGCCATAAACTTGTGACGGTCAATGGAGAGGAAGCATGTTGCCAAATGATTTCCAGATGTCCAAAACATGTGTTAAACATGTTTGAAGCATGTAAGCAACATGTTTAAACCATGTTTAGAACCTTTTCCGACATGTTAAACATATTTTCAGTTCAATGATAGGAGGATTAGGGGGTCCATTGCCGTATCATCCACAACCATAAACATGAACTTTTCTGTCTCTCGCGCAGATTCCTTGGATCCGCGCTGGGCCCCCCCCCCCGACGGCGCCTCCGGCGCCACGGTAGGGGGGTCCAGCGCAGGTCCAAGAAATCCGCGCGGAGCGCCAAACGCCAATGTTGTTTATGGCATTTGTTCTTCTTCTGTTGGCGGGCCGACGGACTTTTTTGGGGGCCCGGGCGATGCGGCTGGTGCTCGGAGGCTCTCTCCTGGTCTCGCATCCTCGGGAGCGTCCCGCCCAGGCTCCCGCCGCGTCCCAGGGACCCCCTCGAGCGATGAACAAAAATAGGGGGCCACATGCGAACCCTACCCCTACCCCCCACGATTTCTGAGGGGGAGGGTGGGGTTCGCATGTGGCCCCCTACAAAATCACGATGGGAGGTTTTTCGTTGTGCTCGGCCTCTGGAGGCCCTACCGGGCCTCGGGACCGTCAAGAACCGACTCAGGATGAAGAACCAGGCTCGGGGAGTGGGTCCAGACCTCTGGGGGTTGACGCAATGAAGCAGTCATGACGTTGGGGCTCTGGGGTCGTGGCCGCAGTTTTTGTTTGCAAGGTTCGGCCTCGGGCCACGGTTGGTCCTCGGAGATTTCCTTGCGCCGCGAGCTGCTTGCCAGCACCTGCGCCTCCTCGAGAGCCTCTTCTCCCGGGTGCCCGCATCGTCCCGAGCGATCGTCAGAGGCCCGAGCTGTGACACGCAAGCCACCTGCGTGTGCGTCCACGGGGGGGGGGGCGAGGACTAGGGTGTGTGTGCGCGCGCGCGTGTGTATGTGTGTGTGTGTGTGGGTGTGTGTGTGTGTGTGGTGTCTGTGTGTGTGTGTGGATCTCATGGCCAGGGCCATGACATCTCCCAGGTGGTGTGGCTTCTTACTCCTCTCGGCGGCGAGCGAGGAGGGGGAAGCGATGCGGCTCGATGTGGGGCCCGACTTTCTCCACGCCGACGGCGCCGATGCATCGTCGACGTCGTCGATGCATCGGCGATTCGGCGCGACCCTCCAACCCATCTACACGGACCCCATCTGGGAAGCCTCTAAACAGCCTCACCAGCCCGACCCCCGGGTGGGGATAGGTCCTGCCAAGTCCGAAGGGAACAGCGCAAATTCTTACCTAGGGAGGTGAGTCGGACAGAGGGTCAAGGCCACGCCAGTGTCCTGATCATTGGATACCAGCGTTTTCTGGTCGTGCCCGGCGATCATCGGTCGCTACTGGTGTTGCTTCAAACTTACATGTCGGCCGTGACCAATCTGCTTTTCAACCAGTTACGACCGATGTGTCGCGACCGATTTTGGAATCGGTTGCGACCGTTCACGACTGAGTGTGAGTGCCGATTGGTCGTGTCGCTACCGATCGCGGCCGAACAAACTTGGTGTCCAATGATCCGAGAGTGGGGATGGTCGAGAGTTGCTGAAGGTGCCCCTGGCCCAAGGTGTCCCAGATTGTTTCTCAATTCTAGACGCTTCGCGCAACCCCACCAGCCCATCCAGAAACGATGCCCAGACGAGTTGCCCTGATCAGGAATACGGAGGATAATGCAGTGGAATGGAGTGGAATACGATGCTGGGCAAGACGTCGTACCTCAAGAGGTGGAGGATGGAGGAGGAATCGGAGGAGGAGCAGGAGGAGGAATCGGAGGAGGAGGAGGAAGAGGAGAAGGAGGGAGAGGGGAGGTGGTGGAGGAGGAGGAGGGAGGAGGGAGGATGGACAGGCGGAGGAGGAAGAGGAGGAGGATGAGAAGGAGGAGAAGGAGGAGAAGGAGGAGGGCGAACAGAAATGCCAGGCCTCTTGGATGCCTCTCGGAGTCTCTTCGGATTTCTTTCAGGAGTTTCTTGGGTGTCTTCTTGGGGCGTCTTGGGGGTCTCTTGGCAGTCCCAGGGGCGTCTTGAGGCGTCTTGGGGGCCCTCCGAGGGCCTCGGAGCCTCTTAGGAGTCTCTTGGGGGCCTCTAGGGGGCATCATGAGGGCATCGTGGGGGCCTATTGGAACTTCCTGGGCACCTGTTGGGGCTGTCTTGGGGCACCCGGGAGCCTCGGGTGTCATCTTGGTGCCATTTTGGAAGAGATCGATGAAAAGGAGGGGGGCTCCTTACGCAGGGTCCCCCCCCCCCTCCCCCAGGAGGCCAACAGGTGGCCAAAACCTTAGTACAATCAGTGATTTGACTTTCTCGCCGTGGCCTCGTGGGGCTTCTTGGGTGCCTTTGGATGCCTCTTGGGGCATCTGGGGGGGGCTCTTGGGAGCCTCTTAGGGTGCATCTTGGGGGCCTCTTGGGGGCCTCCTGGGGCCTCCTGGGTACCAAATGGCGCCCTCTTGGGGCACCCTTGGGAGCCTCGGGGGCCATTTGGGAGAGATCGATCAACGAAGGGACCGTCGTACATTTTAGCAGGGCCCCCCCACCAGGAGACCAACATGTGGCCAAAACCTTGGTCTAATCAATGATTCGACCTTCTCGCCGTGGCCTCGTAGGGCGTTTTGGGTGCCTTTGGGATGCCTCTTGGGGCCTCTTGGGGGTTTCTTGGCAGCCTCTAGGGTATTTTGGGGGCCTCTCGGGTACCTCTTGGGGCCTCCTGGGCCTCTTGGGGCCTTCTTGAGGCCGTAGTGAGTTAGCTTCCCGTCCCAGGAGGCCAAAATGTGGCCAACACCTGGGTCACATCTGTGATTTTGGCTTCCTCGTCGAGGCCATCTGGGACGCTCTAGATACCCGCGACCCGGGGGGAGGGGCAAACCCTTCCCCGAAGGGGAAGAAGGGAGATAGGAAGAGGAAACGCCCTACACCACTCACGTCCCTAAGGCCTGGTGGGAGTTTGGAGCCTCTGGGGCCCTCTGGGCCGGGCACTTCTGGCAGCACCCGAGATGGGGATCGGCGAAGCCATGCTCAAAGGTGCTGCAGATCACGAGGGAGGTCGAGCTGCTGTGCAGCTACCACCCGTTGCAGGTGGTGCCTCTCATCGGCGGCTCCAGGCTGGACCGGGACGAGGCGGCGATTCGGCGGCGCCGCCCGGGGACCCCGGCAGGGCCCGACAAACCTCTGGGCTGTCTGCTCAGTCCGTCCTGGGTGGGAAGCCTTGGCCTCCTCGCGTCGTGAGCAAAGCCCCGACGGCCGCTTTTTGGCTATTTTTCGGCCTGCGGGGGCCCTCGCTGGGCCCCGGGACCGTCAAAAACCGGCTCGGGATGAAAAGCTGCATGGTCTTGGGGAAGTGGTCGAGTCGTCCGGGGTCCGCGGTGTGAACAGCACTGCGTCGGGGGTCTGGGGATGCGCGGGTTGAGCCTCGAGATTCTGGCGTCGCATTTTTGTTCGCAAAGGGCGATTTTGCCTTGTCTCGGGCCCCGCGACCCTCATGGATCGGTCCGGCCCGGAACGTGCAGCAGAAAGCTGGGCTCCAGGCAGTTTTCATCCTCGGGTTTTCATCCGAGGAGGAAAATCAAGAAAGCTGGGCTTCAGGCTCCGGCCGAGGTTTTTTTTTGTCTGCTATGCTTCTTCACTTTTCTCGCGGCGCCGGACCCAAGAGACACGGCGGCCGATCGAATTCGATTCGGCGTGCCGCGGTCGCGTCTCGGGCGAGCGCGCCGACCGTGGCCAGGCCTGGGGCCCCTGGACGGGGGCCCGGGTCCTCGTGCTCCCTGCTGACGCCTGTGCGAAGAGCGCCAGGGTCCAGAAGTTCGGCCCGCGCGCGTGTATTCAAAGCAGTGGCGAGGCGTCCTGGCTCGCCCACAGGCCTACCAAACAATGTTCCAAGAATTTTTTGTGGCTTCCCGGCGATGTGATTCGACCATTTCTGGCGGAGGCTGTCTTGTTTTATCACATCGGGCTTGCGTTCTAAGAGCATTTGTGGTTGTTCTCAGAACATTTTTGGGTGCTAAGCACACCTCGTGGTAGGACCATCGGAACGCCAGGACGGTCGGTCCCTGCCCAATGTATACATCCAACGGGGGGCTGGGCCGGGGCGCCGGGGCCAAGACGCGGACCACAAACGTGCGGCCGGGGGGCCCAGCCCGCCCAGGGGGGCCCAGACTCGCTTCTGCGAGTCCCGCCCACGGCAGCCGTCACGGCGGCCCACGACGGCCCCGAGGCACCC